GTATTTTCGGAGTGAAATAAAGTTTGAGTTGATTGTGTCCGAGGACTAGGCTGCCGAACCTCATTAATTTTTGGTGTTTTTTTTGTTAGTGTCTCATTTACTATTTATTAGCTACCTTTAGATATAGTAGTTGTGATTTAATCTCTCTATATATTCGGCTTCCACAACACCTCATATATTTAACACATCTACGCATTATGCAAGCCAACACCTAACACTTCTAGGTATTATGAAAAGAAAGTGCTTTTTGTTTTGGAAAAACTTGGCCACATAGGTTGTAAATGAAGTAAGTAGTGACAAAATCCCAAACTTAAACCCATAAAGTTCAAATCTTGTATCCGCTTATGTTCGTCTATGACCAAAAATTATGGTACATTGACTCACATAACCCAAAACTTCCTATCCAAAAGCATTGTAAACAGAGACTAAATACAAAAAAAAAAAAAAAAAAAAAAAAAGAGGAGAAGAATTGAACTTCAATACAATNAAAAAAAAAAAAAAAAAAAAAAAACAAACACATATAAAACAAATCAAGGAATTGTTCATCTTTTACCTGGCTTTTCTAATTAGCTTCCGCATTCTTCTTTTCGCGACTCAGCATTGAATCATCCTATCAACAACAATAAACATTATAAGTATTAAGCACAAACGTAATATTAATCAAGTAACTTTAATACTAAAAGGCAGATCTACAACCTACTAACTCCTAAATTCTGGATTCAACCTCTATCTTTAATTTATAATTTTGAGAAAAGGAAAGAAAACCTGATCTTGGGAAGCGCAAGCGAAGCCAAGGGGATCAGGAATATCGCGGGAGGAAGGAGAAGTAGAATTATTGGTGAAGTCCACTGCCCAGGGTCGGCTCTAATAGTGCATGGGCTAAGGCTAAGTTCCTTAGGCCCCAATTTTGGGGCCCCGTTTTTTAGGAATAATATATATTTTATAAGTTTATAAGTTTTTTTTAAAAAAAAATATATATATANTTAGATATATTAATAAAGTAAAGATTTGACTTACTTAAAAATAGTAGAAACGTTGGAAAAGTCATACTGAAAGTATTAAAGCAATAAGATTTCGAGCTCCACAAATAAGAGATGTTTTAATAAAATTAGTAGAAGTTAGTGAGGATCCAAAAACAAAAAGTGAAGCAAGTTGTTTAGCAACATATGAGCTTGAGAATTTTGAGTTTTTATTCGGCATAACTATTTGGTATGATGTATTATTTGTTGTTAATTTAGTTAGCAAAAGTTTACAATCAAAAGATATGCATATGGATGTTGTCATAGATCAACTAAAAGGTCTAATTTCTTTTTCTAAAATATATAGAGGAGAAAGATTTAGAAATGCTATGATTTCAGCTAAGGAAATTGCATTTGGGATGAACATAGAACCTGAATTTCATAATAAACGTGTAATACATAGAAAGAAACAATTTGATAAGATTGTTGATAATGAAATCACAAAGTTTCTCGAAGAATCTTTTAGAGTTGATTACTTCTTATACAGTAGATCATCCATTTTTTCACTTCAAAATAGATTTGAACAGTTTGAAGTATATGAAAATATCTTTGGTTTCCTATTTAGTGGTAAAAATTGAGATCATTAGATGACGAGAATTTGAAAAAATATTGTTTTAACCTCGAATGTTCTTTAAAACATAACGGTCATATTGATATTGATGGTTTAGGCTTATTTTCTGAACTAAAAGTGTTAAGAGAAAAGTACAGGTAGAAGATAATATTCTAATCGATATACTTAATCAAATAAAAAGACTTGATTCTTTTCCAAATACTTATATTGCTTATAGAATAATGTTAACAATTCATATAATAATAGCAAAAAGAAGTTTTTCAAAATCAAAATTGATAAAATCTTACATAAGATCAACACTGTTTCAAGAAAGATTAAATGTCTTGGCTATATTATGAATTGAAAAGAAATTATTAGAAAAAATCGATTATAAAAAATTATTAACAACTTTACATCTAAAAAAGCTAGAAGAATAGATTTTAAATAAAAATATATATATTATAACGTTCTTATAAATACTTAAGCCCCGTATTAAACTTTGGCCTTACGCCCCATATGCGCTTGAGCCGCCCCTGCCCATGTATGCCCCAAAATCTTTTTACAACGAAAACATTTAAATTTCCAGGTACATTAAGATCTCCAGTAACTGAAAACTCAAAAAGTCAATATTCAAATGTTTAGAAGATACAGAAACATATGCGCCGAGATAGAGAAGCAAAAACTGAAAACCTACTACAATCAGTCGAGATTCAAATTCGTAGTATGCAACTGTTAGAATATCATCACATATAACTCAAAATAAAAAGAGAAATACTCCGCTTTATTTCATTTATAAGCCAAGATTCTCTACATTTAGTCATTTACAGCCAAGAAATAGAAAATACCCATTTTCCATCAAGAATTTCAATATCTTTTACAACCTTCGATAGATCACAGAACAAAAACCCACAAGCATCTCACAACTCTCTTAGCTTTTTCTGGTAATAGAAATTCATATAAAATCTACAGAAAGAGGAAACTGTTTTGTAAGAGAGAGCAGTTCACCCAAAAAGAGAAGAAAGAAAACTCACTTTATGTTTTCTTTTTCTTTATGGTCACACACATTAGCCAAAGCAGGTAGTTGCATCTTTAATCTGCGACAAAAATATAAGAGCAGGGAGTTTAAGAGAGGAATCTAACTCAATTGACCCTCATTGTGTATATGAATCCTTCATTTTATCCATATGTTGCTACAGAAAAACAGATCTATCTTTGTTTGGGATAAAGTTGAGAAACAACTAAACTCGACCTGTCAAGGTAGGAGACATATATGCATGTGTTTTAGCTGCTTAGTGGGGAAGCCGCGGACTCACAAAGCAAGACTTCTTTGCTATGTTTCTTTCGGCTAAGAGAGAGAGAGAGAGAGAGAGAGAGAGAGAGAGAGAGAGAGAGAGAGAGAGAGAGAGAGAGAGAGAGAGAGAGAGAACTGTTAAGAGCCACTTATTACATTAGATTTCTGGTGACTTCGAGAAAAGGTTTTTACCTGGAAAGTTAGTGTCAACAATGTTTAGCAACTTTGGTTAATTTATATAGTTGGATGCTACATTTAGAAGCTGAAATCTCAGTTTTTCCCAATAAATCTCAAGTTTATCTAAGAATCAAGCTTCAATGTTCTTGCGGGTTGTACACCTTAGTGAAAAAATTTCATAGAAGCCTTTTAACAGATAACCACATGCATATACAAAATCCGCCAAAAGAAAACATTAAGACGGAAAAGAATATTCAAAATCTTACAGACTGAATTGAAAAGGAAAATAAAGCAGGACAAATTAGAATTTCATAGGCAAATGAAGATTCTATATAATAGAATAAAGGTTTACATGCTTACCAAGAAAGAATAGACGAAAACTAAGAACTCAGAAATTTCCTCTTCTTCCCTTTACATGATTTCTGGTTGTATCTCGCCGATCAGGATGCATGTGTGTTTTGAGAGTGAATCCATAAATGTTCTGCATGTACACAGCAACACAAACATGGAATAGCAGATCAAGCAAATCCAAAAAAGAAAGGTATAATAACCCAGAGGATTAATTTATTAAACACGACAACAAAATGAGATACTTGCTGGATCATCATAAACGCAACGGAGAACACCAATGAATAGAGAAACTGATCTAGCTAGAAGAGAATAAAACTGATGAAAAAACGAAAGATAATATGAGAATAAAGGTAAGTAAAGAAATGCAGAAACATGAAGAAAGCAATTGATATTGATACAGATTGTTACCTTAACCCAGTTAGTAGAGTTTACCTTATGAAAGAGCGAGTGTGAATTCGTAATAAGGATCCAAAAAGATGGACGAGACGAACTTTATTTGAAATCTCAAATATCACAGACCTAATAGTGTACCACACATGATTCACGAATAGCAATCGGTTGCTCATGTAGTTACTTGTAAGCGCAATTCCCCGAGTGTATCAGTAGCCATGTTTATATAGGTTGGAAGGAGAAGTAATGAATCATCATTGACATAAATATAATTAATTTAAGGGAATGCTTTTCGAATGACTTCCTCGTAAACTATATTGTAGGTAGAATGATCATCTTTATCCTGTGCCGTTGGTGGGCGTATCAGTATCTTTACATTTTTTTAAGTCTTTGCTCTAGATAAAGCAACTTAGAGAGAATACTTATTCACGTAAATAAATTCCAACAAAATCTAATGTCTGACCTTGAGTTTTGTTAATTATTATAGCAAAACATAATCGAAGTAGAAATTGTGTTCTTTTGAAAGCAACGGGTAACTTAAGAGTGGTATTTTCGGAATGAATACATGTGTATTTTTGAAATCACCACTTGCAATAGTAGCACTTATTACATGTGACTTAAAGTCGTGACATATTAACCTTGTACCATTACATAATCCTTCACAAGGATTTAAATTTCGCAATAATATAACGGGACAATTTTTTTCTCAGGTAATTTGTAAGGTGGCAAATTAGGAGGATTTAATGTGTGCAGTAAATCTTCAAATTGGCATTGGTCGCTTGGTTATGTAGTTTCATCAATTGCAGTATATATTTTAGCATCGTTGGGAAGTTGATGTATAAGCATGTCATTTATTTCTATCAACAAAATCATTTTTTGTAGTTAAGATAACACGGGAAATCATAGAAGATGGATTAGAAAAGAATGTATGTAGATCCGGATAAGTAACATTGAATAATTGATTTAAAGATTGTGTTTCAGTGGTAAAAGGAATGATAAAATTACGTGGAATTTCAATTTTGTTCGAGCTATTAGTTTCTTCTTTTCCATTTCCAATTCCCATTAAATACTCGCAAAAAACAGGATAGCACGCATATTTTCTGATAAACACAACTTTTCAAGACCATTCCAAATATCAGAATATAGTAAACTTTCACAAATAAAGTCTTTTTTTTCACATTACCAACAACGGGAAGTGTTTGCCGAAAGTCTCCTCCAAAAACTACAACTTTACACCAAAGAGTATATTCGTATTCATGAGATCTTTTAAAAGAGTATCGAAAGCTTCAATCATTTTCTTTTTTGCCATTGAAGCTTCATCCCAGACAATTAACTTTGAATCTTGAATTAGAGTTGCTAATGCAATTTGTTTACTAATATTACATGTAAAATTCTCATCAATGATAGAAATTTTGAAGCGCGAATGAGCAGTTCGTCCTCCAGGTAGAATTGAAACTGCAACATCAGAACTTGCAGTTGCTAAAGCTATAAAACCTTTTGATCTTATATTAGCTAACAAAGCTCGATACAAGAATGTTTTTCCTGTTCCTCCAAGACCATCAATGAAAAACGCTCCTGGTTTATGAGAATATACTCTATCCAGAATAATATTATATGCTCTTCTTTGTTGAGAGTTTAATTTCTTTTCTAAGAGTAAATCTTTTTCACTTACTATTATATTTCTCTCAAACTGAACATCTTCTGCCTCGTTAGCTGGTGAAGGAAGTACAATAATTTCATAAGTAAATTTGAATTTTGTTTACCCGAAAAATCGGATAAAGTTAAATTTATGTATGGTTCTAAGGATACGTAATACCTTTTGATATAAAGAGAACAATATGAGTATTTTGATTATGAGAATGACAATGATGAACAGAAAGAATGAATAAGATCTAGTAAAACGAGCACAATGAGATATCTTTGTATAGGAGAAAAGATCTTTTTGTTCCAATCTATTCCGTGTGTTTTGTATATGCATAACTTACAAGGATTCCCCCTTTTTATAGTAGAGTGTCATTACAAAAAATAATAAAATAAAGCATATAGTGGAGGACCCATGATAATTTGTCTCTTCCTTGATTCCGGCTAAGATTCTCTCTCTTGGTGCGGTTGCAACGGCTCTTGTATGTGAGCTCGATACTGGCTCGAACTCGTTACTGAGTCGAGCCTTTAGGTCTTGGCTCGAGTTCGACCTTCGGGATGGGCGTCGCGTATTTCCGACCTCGAGGTAGTGCCTTGCGGAATGATTAGGTCACGGGCTCGATAAAGTTATCGAGCCGACTCCTCGAGCGACCTTCGGACTCGAGGCTCGTTAGTACTGACTTCGAAGCTCACTCCGAAAATCTCACTCCGACTTTTTACCACTTGAACTCGATCAAACGTAGGAAGGCTGAAATCTATTTCGACCGTATACAGATAGTCCCCTCGTTTCTCACGAAGGATGCGGTGAGAATAGATGTGATTTTCGGTGGTTCGATTGGGTCATAAGCTGACGTTTTAACAGGGATCGATTATGACGTATGTGATAGCTGTCCCATCGATTTAGCCTTTCAAGGTATTTAATGCTTGTCAGATGGCGGTCGGCCACCTCTGATATTGAACCGTCATGATGCGAGCCTATAAATAACTCTTTCATCTATCATTTACCACTTTTACGCATTCACTCCCCCAAAGTTTCTCAAGAGTTTGGGTGTCGTCAATTTTTCACTTTCCTTTGTCTTTCTTCCTCTCATATCAATGGCCAAAACTTCAAAAACTGTACCTCAAAAGGAGAAAACTTCTTCTTCACGGCCGTCTGGCGATAAGGCGCCGGTGGAACCGTTCACCTATGACTACGTTCCCGGTCCGTGTACTCTGAAGATCGATTTTAAGGTTGAGAATCCTTCATCTGTCCGGGTTGATGCAAGCACGTGTCGATGTATATGTGCTCTATAACGGAGGGTCATCTCGAGGTCGTTAGAAAAGACTGGAACTGGGGTTCCGAGGTTGTGTTGCAAATTCTATCCCCCGAAGAGAGCGTCATCACTCATGTGGAGGGGTTTTTAAGTGTTTACACTTATGCTTTCACACTGGGTCCGGTCGACCCGGTGATCATTGATTTTTGCAAAAGATATCAGGTCACCCTCGGTCAAATTCATCCCTCTCTATGGCGTATAGTAATCCTACTTCGCTTCTTCTCCATCAAAGTTGGGGGGGCTGGAATTTTCCCTGAATCACCTCATACGGTTGTATCGGCCTCAAATCTTTCGAGGATTAATCAGACTTTATCGTTGGGCGAAGGCCTTGATGTCGAGCATCGACGAAGACAAGGATCGGGGTTGGATGGGGCGTTATATTCGGGTGAGGACCCGTGACCTTATTCTAGAAGAGAAGATGTCGTTCCCCGAGGAATGGAATTTCGACCGTAAGTGGTTCTCATAAGACGTTGCTTTTCGTATACTTTCCCGATTTTTTCTAATGTCTCTTCCCGATATACAACTGCCCCTTGGATGACACAAGTGGTGCCCGACCTTGAGGATTGGGTTCGGAAGTTAGCCTCGACTTCCTCTTATGCCGAACGCACTTGGCGTGATTTGGTAAAAGGTAGATGGGAAGCCAAGAATCATGGTAAGGTTTTACTTCTCGTTTCCTTCGAAGTGTTCTTTGTGCTCCATTCGTTACCAATTTTCTTTCATGCAGGTGTAACCAAGGACGCCGCTTTGAGGCCTTCAAGCGGTGAAGAAGGAACCAAGTCCCCGGTCCCGAAGCCGGGGAAAGATAAGAAGCGAAAAGCTGCCTCTCGGTCAGAGGGCCCTAAGCCCAATTGCTCTTTCGATTGACTTGGTCCAACGACTGAGAGAAGAAGAAGAAGACGAAGAAGAAGAAGAGGAAGAAGGAGGTGCCTCGGCTTTGGTGATCCAATCTGCAAGAGCCATCGAGGTCACCAAAGCTCCTGAGCCGATGGCGGCTGTACCGGTCGGGGTTGACCCCGAGATCCCGAGTCTTGATCGGAATGCCCTGAGTGATCCGCTTGGGACTATGACAGTGGGTTATTCGTCTTCTCTTCCTACCTTTTCTGAGGAGGCATTAAAGGAAGCTTGAGAATTGAAGACCCCCGATATGGGCGGAGGCTCTAGTGTAGGGGATCCCTTTCGGGATTTCTTTACTGGAGTCGATGATGCTTCCGATATTGGGGACGCTTCTCTTCTACTAGAAGAGGCCTAACGTTTTATTACTCGGGTAATGATTTTACTATACTTTGTTTCTTTGTTCTTTTCCGAATTTGACTCGTGTTCTTTCCCTACTGTGCAGGCCATTAGTAGGTTTCGAGTCGACCTTAGCCAGTGTGAGGGCGAGCTTTAGAAGGTCTCGGGGGAGAGAGATGCCTTGCGGCTTCTTTGTAGCCAAAAGGACGAGGCTATAAAGGACCTCCAAGTGGATTTGGCTAAGGCTCGTGAAGAAGAGGCCGAACTTGATAAGAACGTGAGCCTCGTTCTGTTAAAGTATGGGTTTGACTCGACTGTGGAAGTTAACCCTTCGTTGTCTCAGCTGCAGCAAAAGGTTGAAAAGATCGGGTCACTTCGGGAAGAAGTCGATCAAATCAAAGCTGAATGTAATCGGTGGAAGGAGACTATCGATCGCCTGGTTGCGGAAAAAGAGACCATTTTGACCAACTTATTATCGGCCAATGTTCAGCTTTGAAACGTTAAGCAAAAGGGTTCGGCTCAAGCTAAGAGGATCGAGGAGCTTGAAGCCCAGCTTGCTGAAGCCAAGGCGGAGGTTGAGTCGTCGAAAATCTTGGCGGATAAGTCCATTGCCGTGTATCGGGCTGATGCCGAGGCTGCTCAGATGGAGGCACGAGAGGCGTGGATACTGCCGACACTCGAGCATATTGGATTGCCGAACTTGCTAAATGTAGGTCTCGGAGGGAGACCCTCGAGGAGATACACGCTCGAGGTTTCGACCTTACTGAAGAAATAAAAAAGGCTAAAGAGCTCGAAGTTGAAGCTGAAGCCTTGGATTCTGATGGCGATGACGATGATGATGACGGTAGCAAGAGCGGATGCGAGGATGGGGGAGAGCCTGACAGAGAAGCAAACGCCCCTAAGGGTGATCAGGAAGCTTAGTTCATAATTTTTTATGTTTGTAATCAATCATGTAGAAAATTTTTGTATATAGAAAACTTTGGCCGATTTGTGAAGACTTTATGCATGCCTTACAAATGTTTTCACAAAGATCTTAACAATTCAATCAAATTTGAACTTCGTAGTCTCTATGATTAATTGTTCGAAGTGACGTAGCCCTTAGGATTACTAGTTGAGTTAATGATTCGAACTTGAAGAAATATAATCCGTAGGCATAATAGTCGAGTGAGTGCTTTGCTTGAACTCGAAATGAAAGTAGCCCGTAGGCTTTAATCGTCGAGTGAATAATTCGAATTCGAAGTAATGTAGCCCGTAGGCGTAATGGTCGAGTGAGTGCTTGCTCGAACTCGAAATAAAAATAGCCCGTAGGCTTTAATCGTCGAGTGAATAATTCGAACTCGAAGTAATGTAGCCTATGGGTATAATGATCGAGTGAGTGCTTGCTCGAACTCAAAATAAAAGTAGCCCGTAGGCTTTAACCGTTGAGTGAATAATTCGAACTTGAAGTAATATAGCCCGTGGGTGCAATGGTCGAGTGAGTGCTTGCTCGAACTCAAAATAAAAGTATCACGTATGCTTTAATCGTCGAGTGAATGATTCGAACTCGAAATAAAAGTAGCCCGTAGGCTTTAACCGTCGAGTGAATGATTCGAACTCGAAATAAAAGTAGCCCGTAGGCTTTAACCGTCGAGTGAATGATTCAAACTCGAAATAAAAGTAGCCCGTAGGCTTTAACCGTCAAGTGAATGATTCAAACTCGAAGTAATGTAGCCCGTGGGTGTAATGGTCGAGTGAGTGCTTGCTCGAACTCGAAATAAAAGTAACCCGTAGGATTTAATCGTCAAATGAATGATTTGAACTCGAAGTAATGTAGCCCGTGGGCATGATGGTCGAGTGAGTGCTTGCTCGAACTCGAAATAAAAGTAGCCCGTAGGCTTTAATCATCAAGTGAATGATTCGAACTCGAAATAATGTAGCCCGTGGGCGTAATGGTCGAGTTTATATTAATTCTGATTGCATAATAAATCTCCAAATAGAGGGATATTTCTTGGATATAAGTCGTTATACATGTGTTCATGTTTCGCATCTGGGTTCGGGCCAACTACATGAGCATGGTTCGCTTTGACCATTTTGGCTCTTACAACTTTTTCCACTGGAACCCCGTTGTTGCGAAATAACTTTCTTGTATCAGATCTTGATATATTTAAGGGCTAATTCCCCCCCAGTATTCGAGGTTGATTGTACGGAGGCCTCGGATACTTGTTGTAAGTGCAGCTTGATCATAGGTTGCCTCATTAAAAACCTTGCCGAAAAACCTATTTGGGATAAAACCGGTCTAAAGGAAAAAGTGTGCAACGCGTGCTTTCAAGCGATGGGTCCATCTTAGCTCTTGTTCGGACTTCTGCAGGGGTCAGTTTTGAAATATAAATGAATATGGAAGGGTCGTACCTTAGCAGTAGTATCATTTCAGATGTAACACATTCCAACTGCTTGATAGTTGTTTGCCGTTTATAATGCCGAGCATGTACGATCCCTTTCCGATGTTCTTGAGAACCTGGTATGGTCCTTCCCAATTTGGTCCTAGTTTTCCTTCATTCGGATTTTGGGTATTGATGGTGACTTATCTTAACACTAAGTTCTCGGGCTTGAAATGGCGGAGCTTGGTTCTTCGGTTATAATATCTTTCGATTCGCTGCTTTTGTGCGGCCAATCGGATGAGAGCAGCTTCTCTTCTTTCGTCCGATAATTCGAGGCTGGTATTCATAGCCTCGTTATTTGGTTCTTCCATCGTGAATCAAAATCTTGTACTGGGTTTACCGACTTCGACTGGTATCAATGCTTCGGACCCATATACAAAGGAGAATGGGGCCGCCCCCATACTGGATTTTGACGTTGTTCGATACGCCCAAAGGACTTCGGGCAGGATTTCTCTCCATTTTCCTTTAGCATCGTTCAACCTCTTCTTTAGGTTTTGAATGATAGTTTTGTTTGTTGATTCGGCATGTCCGTTCCCACTGGGGTGGTATGGTGCTGATAGTATCCTTCTTATTTTGTGATCTTCGAGGAATCTTGTTACTTTGCTGCCAACGAATTG